ACAAACACAGATTTCCACAGTCCACACCAGGAATGGCTCTCATTAGCTCTGGGGCACAGTCTGGGAAGCTTTGTGCTTTAGTTCGTTTTTGTTTACCTTTTATTTTTATTGATAAATAATTGTGTTGCCTGTGGGGTACAGTGTGTTTGACGTTTTTGGATCTATGTGTACTCTACCCAAAAATCCACCAACTGACAGCTTTGTTACTTTTGCAGTAGGAATATCTTTAAATGAATTAAGGGTCTGAAGGAAGGAAGAAAAGAAAAAGGAAGGAAGGAAAGAGATAGGAAGGAAGGGAGGGAGGGAAGGAGGGAGGAAAGAAGGAAGGAAGAAGACGGTCATCAGAAACAAGAAAGACACTTAACAACGGTGATAACCAAAGGAGTAAAGTGAGATCACACTTGGCACCGCTGGAATGGCTGTTCTCAGAAAGACAAATGATACCTTGTAGCATGGATTCTAATTGGCATTAATAATAAAAACCCAGAGTCAGATACAAGAGTTAATGCTGGAGATCAGAGCAGCAGAGAACCAGCCACTAGAGAGCTTTTTACCTCTACCAATGTTCAGACCGAAGGGGCGATCCTGTCCTCAGACTGCATCTCCAGACTGCATCTGTCTCCACCAAACCTCAGACTCCATTGAGCTCCTGTCTCCTTCTGTCTTACATTTCTCTCTCCACTCAGCCATATCACTCCTGTCTCCACCTCCCTAGTACTGAGATAAAAGGCATAGAATCCCAAGTACTGGAATCACCTCTGTGTGAGCTCTGTTTCTTTTAGACAGATTCAACCTTGGGTAGCCCAGGGAGGCCTTGAACAATCAGAGATCTCTTGTTTCTGTCTCCCAAGTGCTGGAATAAAAGATATGTGCCACCACTCTCTGGCCATTAGTGGCTTAGCTCTGCACTCTGATCTTTAGGCAAGCTTTATTTGCTAAGACCCAAACAAAATATCACTGCAATCGCTGGCAAAATATATACATATATATATGTATATTTGTGTATATATGTATATATATATATATATGTTGGGGGAAAACTTGGAAGCTTTTGATGAAAATGTGTATTAGGACAGTCATTTGGGGAGACCATGAGATTCTTCAAAAAAAAAAAAAAACTCAAAACCAAACCACCATATGACCCAGAAATCTCACTCCTGGATACAAAGTCAAACAAAGGGATTGAAATCGGCCTGTGGAAGAGACAACTGTGCTCTTGTGTTCACTGATGCGCTACACACACAAGAGTTAGGATGTAGCACCAACCTCAGGAGTCCAACAATCAATATGAAAAATGTGGTCACACACATTTTCCTTCTACATCCATGTACATAGATACATATAAATAGCACTATACAACCCTTAAAAAGAAAGAAATCTGCCATTCGTGACAAAATGAAGTTGGAAGGCGTTGTGTTAAATGCAATAAACCAAGCACAGAATGACAAATTCTGTGTGGTCTCACTTAAATGTGCAACTGAAAAAAAAAATAAGCTAGTCAGTTTCATAGAAATAGCAGAAAGGTGTTTGGGAGTGGAGGGAGGGAGAGTGGGGAGAGAGAAGTGGCTAGGAAGGGAGGGAGAGTAGAGGGTCCAGATTTCAGTTAGACGGGAGAACAAGTTTTACTGACTTATTAAGTTGGAGAGTGCTCATAATTAATAATAATGTGTGCAGCCGCAGCCATGATCTGCAAAACACTTAGTCAGCAATAGAGAACACACAAAGCGTGGTTCTATAGACTATCCCTGAGTGACAGTGTAACTGTCTTAGTTTGTATTAAGTACACTCTGGGATACAGAGCGTGATTCTATAGACTATCCCTGAGTGACAGTGTAACTGTCTTAGTTTGTATTAAGTACACTCTGGGATACAGAGCGTGATTCTATAGACTATCCCTGAGTGACAACTAACTGCCTTAGTTGGTATTAAGAACACTCTGGGATACTCATATGATGACAGAATCACCTAGTGATTCATTCATCCATGAAATATATCCCACAGTCAGGGGTACATGACTGACTGGATTTGAAACTGCTAGAAGAATAAGAAGCTTATTTTGGATTGGTTAGCTGGTTGGTTGATGGGCTGCTTGGCTAGTTAACTGATTGGTTGATCTGTATTAAACTGGACCTTGCTATACACCCAAAGGGGTCTTCAATTTACTATGTAACTGGGCTGCCCTTGAACGCTCCATCCTCCTGCCTCTGTGAGACAAGGTGATTAAAAGTCTGGCCGCTCACTTTTTTGGCACCACCAAGAGATTTAAAACACACAAGCCTCTGCCCATAGGCCATACCCCAGACTTAGCAATATTTTGTAACCACCATGAAAAACACCAGCCTGTCTCCTCTCCCTCTTTTCAAGCCATTTTGAGCCAGCTTCCAAAGTCTGCCCTCCTCTTCCCAGAAAGCCTCATGCTTCCTTTACAGCCCTTTCGGCATGTGTGATGCCAGTGGCCGAGACACTGGAACTAAATTTGGGGTGACCACAGCATCTGGCCTGTCCGCACTAGGGGAGATTCCCCCCGTGTGGCTGCTGGAGTTCTTTCAAACCCACAGTTTTGCTCTGGGCCCGGCTGTTCTCCACAAAGGCTCCTCACTACCTACTTCCCCAGTACTAGACAACACGTACACCCCACCTCAGTGCAGAACCCCATCTCAACAGCTTCCCCAGCCCTCAGCGCTACTCTCACAGGCCCCACACAGCAACCAGGCCACAGGAGCAGTGTTGAGTTGTAAAGGGCTAATTAGTTTATTTCCTACATACCCCCCCCCAACAGGAGGCCGTTTCATGTAAAGCGGCCACAAAGAAACCAAATCACTTCCCTAGTTGAAAAGGAAATCTGGAAGCAAGTGAACAAAGAGCATGTTTCTGCCCACCAAGGCCAGACTGGAGCCTAGGAAGTAGAGAGGGCCCAGCGGGATGAACGTGAGCAGATGGGAAGTGAGGAGAAAGCTGCTGCTCAGAGTAAAGAGTCTGGACCCTCTGGTTAGGGCTCTCTTCCCTCTCTGTGGTCTTCTCAGGTCCTGTGGGCAGCTTCCCTGACACCCCTGTCCTTCTGATCCCATTGTCACATGAGTTATGTAAGAGACTTATCTAAGGTGGATGCTGGGCCTGACTTCCCTCCTGCTGTGGGCTATTGAAATCCCACAGTTTAGGCAAAATAATGTCCTTGTCAGGCAAGGCATTTTGCATGTCTTGGTTGGCATTGTTTTTTCAGTGTGAGCATCAAGAATACTACAAGGAGGGCTAGAGAGATGGCAGTAGTTAAGAGTGCCTCCTTCTCTCCCAGACCAGTATCCATCCACGTGGCAGCTCACAACTTCTTGCAATTCCAGCTCCAGGGGACCCATCATTCTCTTCTGGCCTCTATAGTTGCACACAAACATACACACACGCACACACAGGCGTGCGTGAGTGCACACGAGCATAATATACTCACACAGACGCATACAAATAAAATTTAATAATATTTGAAAGAATACTACAACGTGTTTAGAATCTTCTCATTTCTGCTTACTGCGATCCCAGGAACCTGACGTCACCTGCCTTTGTGAACACCAAAGTCTTATACAGAAAATGCCTGAGAAATAAATATCGGTCAATGGTTTGCTCATTGCATGAGCCCTTCAGGACGGTGCCATGCCAGAAGCTAGTGGGCTTTCTATGGGAAATAAATTTGGTATTTCTCTCTTTCCTTGCTAGTTCCATTAAAAGACATGCTACCTACCCCATAGAGCAGACCTGCCTACTGACCCACGTCACTCTCTGAGTACCTGCTTGGGCTAGGCATTCCACACATCTGTTCCAAGCACTTGGCAGAAGGCTACCCGGTTCTGCCTCCCCCTATTAATACCTCTGCAAAATCTCTTTCCTCTAGGGGAGCTGGACTTCTTCCTTTCTAAAGGGAGCTGGGGTAACATCTGCACTATTCATGCAGCGAGGATGCTCCCGAGTCCCAGACGGAAAGAACCATTTCGGGGATTCCTATCAGGCCACACAGATGGACAAGTTCTGCCATAAGCTTCTACTACCCTGTATATGGAACCTGTCTTGGTGCTGAGAACATTGCCATTTACGGGCCAAAAAGAGTCAACGCATGGTGACACTATAGTAAGCAAGAGTTGATGGCGCACAGAGCAATAGGAAGCTGATTTTATTGTGTGATAGTCGATATTCTGCAACTTTTTTTTAACTCATCTTCAGAAAAAAATTGCACATATAATTCATTCTTTTAATACTTTTTGAGATTTCTAATTAATAAAAATATTAAATATCATGATTCTGATTTAATCCTTTGCTCTCTTGGGGTCATGAGCTATTTTATTTTATTTCCGGATAGTTAGTATAATAAAAGCTAATGCCTCTGCTAAACACCTTACAAATACTTTCTCAATTACTGGCGACTCCCTAAGAGGGCTACAGGACCAAGCTCCAAACCCCAGTCTGCCCCAGGCCACCCTTCTTGACCGCCCCACACCCCAGACAGAGCTCTGAGAGCCCCAGAGCCTCCACTCCCCCGGGTGACCGTGCTCCACCCTGGGTGGGGAACAGCTGTGGGCTTTCATCTCTGGGACAGAACCGAGGTCATTTCTACTTTCCTGAAAGCCCAACTCCCTTCTAAGGAATCAGCCTCCACCCAGCCTGACGCTTAAAACATTCTCTAGAAAGTCTTTAAAACGCCCTGGATTAAAACATTCGTTACGTTTCCATGTAGGTTTGTTCTACACGTCATGAGTGGAGCCCGCTAAAGCTAAGGGAACTCTGTGAGTCTTTGATCCGTGCTGACTTCGGTAGTGAAACACTGGAAATAACTTGAATTGTCAGGAGTGTAGGAACCATGACAACCGGTGCTGAAAACTGAAAACAACAGTTCCTGGGCTTTGTGGCCTTTTGGAAAAGTGGTGAAATGAAATCCGAAGGAGAGCACATGGGAGCTGGGGACACCAGAGCAGACACCTGCCCCCTGAGAGAAGCTGCTTAGCAGAGAAAAAGGTTACCTCGGCTCACATTTCAGGAGAATTTCAATCCATTATGCCAGTGAAGGTCTGGCAGTGGGCCAGCTCAGGCCAGGGCTACAGGAGTAGGGGGGAGGGGTGGAATCAGCTGGTTCCCATGGTAACAGACATGAAGTGCAGAGAAAGGAGACCAAGCAAAACCTTCAAAGTCCCAAATCATGTGATCACCTTCCACTGGCCAGACCTCACCTGCTAAAGGCTCCCCAGCTGTTAAATTAATGCTATGTGCAAGGGACCAGGTATTCAAACCATGAACACACAGAGGACAAGACAGATTCCAACCTTGCCTACTATAGCAAATACTCGCTCCTGCTCACAGGCTCAGATGAGGCCCCGGTGTGGTGAGAATGCCACCTATACCCTCTCCAGGTACAAGGCTGGGCCTACAGCTTCACAAACTGGAGTTCTCTTGATGAGGAAAATGAGACCAGGTTGGGAACACGGACCCGGAACTCTGAGAACAACAAGACGGGCAAGGTTTCTGCTTTCTCCCTTAAATCATGTGGTGCTGGGGCTCCGCTAAGTAGGACTGACTTCTCCCCACTGAGATAGAAAGAAAACAAGGTCTGTGAACATGCAAGCCCCTGTGCTGCCTCCTGAGCCCCTAGAACAAGATCTGATCAGAAGCCACTCCAGCTATTCTCTGGTTGCCTCACAAAGAAGACCACTGAAAGAAGAGCAAACACTGTGAAGGATAAAGTGAGCTTTTAAGTTTAAATTTCTGTGCTGAAGAGATCTATTAAACAAAATGCCTCTAACCTGCAAGCTCCTCTTTGCCCAAGAATGGATATCTTCCTAGAATGGTGAGGGCTGTTGTTCGCCCTAGGTAAGAAGCCAGGTGGTTTTGCTTCTGTAAACAAGCTTGCTTGCCCAACTGCACAGGATGGGATTGATCACATGTAGGCGGGAGGTGTGTAGACGGGAAGTACATCAGGGTGTATGCTTGCCCTGATTGGACGAAGGTGGGAAGTGCATAGCCTCGTGGGGTTTGTCTTTATAAGCCCCTGACTAATGTGGTTCATGGCCTTATTCTAGGAGTTCCGGGTATGGATCTGGCCAGTATTTAATAAAGCTTCCTTCAAACTTGGCTCAAAAAATGCGGTAGTGGTCTTATTCTCACCCAGTGGGATTAACAGTAACTGTTCACCCATTGTACCTGGACCATCAGTCAGAGAAGACAACAAGCAAAGGGATGAGCTTCCCTGCAAAGGCAGCTGGAGTTATATGTACATGGAAACAGACACCATGCTGCCCTTCCCTCCCACATCCAGTTTCTTCTGTTTCTGGTCTCCTGCTTCCCATCATATGGAAAGATCACGTAGAAAGTAGTGGAATTTTCCCCACCCTTTCTTTGAATGGCTTTCTGCAAAATATAGGATTTGTTTTAGATAACTTAATCCCTAAGCAGAGAAGGCCCTCAGCCACAAGAGAACGTCACAGAGTGGAGGACCTGTGTGGGTGGAGTTATTTGCAAACTGTGAGGTCCTTAGGACAGTCCTAATCAGTGTGACTAGGGCAGGGGGACTCAGTCAGAGTAATGCATCTGTAGGAAGCCGAAAACAAGAGGAGGGGGAAGGAGACAGAGCCTCCTCGGAGCCCTCAGAACCCACCAAGCCTGCAGATGCTGACACTGAACTACTCACACTGGGAGCAACATGTTCTCACTGTTTAAGATGTCATGTTAACTGGATGTGGTGTTGCATGCCTTTAGTCTCAGAACCCAGAAGGCAGAGGCAAGAGGATCTCTATCCCATCACGGCCAACCTGGTCTACTTAACAATTACCAGGATAGCCAGGGCTACATAGTGAGGCCCTGTCTTAAAAAAAAAAAGTGTTCAATCTGTAGCACATGGTACAACAGCTCCAGGAATCTGAGATCTTACCCAGAAAAAAAAAGCAAAGTCATCAGAACCCAGCCCAACTGGATTGTTCTAACTTCTGCCTTCCTTATTCTGGGCTCCACCCACAGGCAAGCAGCCATGACATGGTGACCCACAGCTGTGCCAGCCTTGCAGTCCTCCAGCTTCACATCCTCTCAGGGGAGAGATGGCAGTTTCTGAAGGCTGTGAGGGAGGCGTGCTCCCTGCCCCTCACCTTGTGTCTGGTGGTTTTCTGGTGAACCGCTCCTGTATATCAGTTTGTGGATGGGTCACCCTGTCTTCGGTCTTTGTCCTCACTGCCTCTCTTTTGTCCACGTTTGTTCTGCCCTAGGCTGGGAATCAAGTCAACTGATTTGAACTCAAAGTGGAGTTAGCTCCATCACGCCACAGGCTCTAAACTCAATCGAAAGATTTTCCTATATGGCTAGAGCATTTACACATGCAACTGAGGTCCTGGGTTACATGTTCAGCACATCACACACACACACACACACACACACACACACACACACACACATACACACAAAGAGAGAGAGAAAGAGAGAGGGTGGAGAGACAGAGAGAGATAGAGAGAGAGAGAGAGAGAGAGAGAGAGAGAACCAAGCTTTCAGTACCAAGCAGAGAGAAGAGTATGCCGAGTGTTAGACAGTCAATCAGGCAGGTACCTGAACCCAGTCACCTATGGCGTCCATATGGTTACTCAGTTGTTAAGTGTAAGTCATTATTCTAGAGAGGAAAATGCACAGATCACTGCACCTCTGGAACTTTTCACTCTAATGGAAGGAAAGTAAGTCACAGAAGGCCAGGAAGCCACAATGGCCAGTTTAGGGCCTGCCCTCTCATGTGTTCTAAAGGTTTATTGAATGAATAAACACACAGACATGAGAAGAGTAAAGATATGGGGGTGGATTATTGGTTCCCAATGCTCCATAGATTGGGACATCAGTGAACAAAGAGGAAGTTGGGTTCTGTGTCTCCGGAAGGTGATTGTAATTTCACCCTCAGTGAAGAGCCTGCTACCCACAAATGTGTCGTTCCTTAACAAACACACGAGAAGCGGGTATGTAAGAACCTTATGACAAAATCAATCATGAGCTCCTCAGCATTCCCAGGCCTGAGTGGGCATAGAGAGGACAGAGACAGCTTCCCCACAGGTGAAAATCAACCACGAGACCACCCATTTTGGTGCCCGCCAGTCAGACACCATTATGGTGAAGAAATGGGAGAGAAAGAGGGGCAGAAAGATATACGTACTGGAGAGGTGGCTCTGCAGAGATGAGGACAGTGAGGAACAGACTGACGCAGATGGCCTGCCTGCCATCAAGGGCCATGCCGATCCAGGCAAATCTACAATACCAACTAGGGCCACGATGACATCTGAGCCTAGGCTGCTCTACAATACCAACCAAGGACCACATCTAGGTTCACGGTCTTACATGTTACAGTTGATGTCTGTGGCCTGTGCTGCCATGAAAAGCCACACAGATGTCCAGGATCTGGGACACCACCTAGCTGTGTTGGTGTCAGAGGGCTGTGCTGCTCTTGGGCCCATACAGAGCTGAATGACATCAGGGGCCATGCCAAGGGCCATGTCTGGGTCTGGGGCCCTGCCACAGCCAGGGTCTGTGTTGATGAATAGGTTTCTGTCACCACCTAAGGTCATGTGATGACCCAGAGTCTGAGCCACCACCTCAGGCCAGGTAAGTGTTCAAGGAACACTCTGTGACTTGGCCTGTAGGCAGAGTTTCTCTGTATCTCGGCAGTCACTCCCAAACAGCCATTCAGAGACTTATTATTAATTATAAATGCTCAGCCGATAGCTCAGGCTTGTTACTAGCTAAATCTTATGTTTTAAATTATCTCTTATTTCTTCTCTACCCCCTGCCATGTATCAATACCTTCTTTCAACAGGGCACATTTATCTTGCTTCCTCTGCATCTGCTCGCAACTCCCAAGATTCCACCCTTCTTCTTCTTCCCAGCATCTTCTGTGTCTTGCTGTCCTGCCTACATCTCCTGCCTAGCTACCAGTCAATCAGATATTTCATTAAACCAATCAGGGTCAATGCCAGTGGCCTGTGCTGCCAACTGGGGCCATGGTGGATCCGGACCTGGGCTGCTGCCAAGGACCATGTCTGGGTCCATGGTCCATCTGCAGCTGGATCTGTGTAGAAATATTCATGGCCTGTATTGCTACCAAGGGCCATGTGAAAGACAAGGGTCTGGGCCACAACCTAGAGCCATCTTAGCACCCAAGGGTTGAGCTTCTGCTGTGCCATGCAGACCTGAGTGGCCTATGTTACTACCCAGAGCCATGGTGTCACGCAGGCCTGTACTACTGCCACGAGCCATGTCTAGGTAATGGCTCTGCTGCAACCGCTCTCTATGGTGAAGTCTCTGTGGCTCTTGTTGCCACTGAAAGCAGTGAGGCTAGGGCTGCACAGAGTTGGTCCCACCCCTCACTAGATGCAGCACTAGGAAGAGCAGGTCCTGCCCTCACCTGGGCAGCACAGTTGATGGGGGCACAGGTGATCCACCCCCATGAAAGTGTCTAGAAGATCTGGCCCCATCCTCATCTGTCATATGACGGAGTGGGCAAGGGAGAGAAGACCCACGTCCCCAGGTCCTCACCACCTGTGATGGACAGGACAGCTGGCCTGGGGGCATGCGAGTAGGGGAATTAGCATTGCTGCTCACCCAGGCATCACAGGTATAACTGACGCTCTTGCCTTGGTGAGGGTGCAGGAGAGACAGTCAGAAGGGTATGAGAGCAAGCAGGCTGGCCTCACCTCCCTCGTCAGCTCTGTGGTGGCAGGGGTGACGGAAAGATGCCCTTCCCACCTCACCTCTCCCCCCCTGCAATGGACAGGAGAACTGGCTCCTGGGTCACAAGAGCAGGAGAGCTGGTCCTGCCCCTCACCAGCTGCGGTACAAGGGAGTGCACCTCGTCTGGGGTGTGCATCAGAGCTGATGCGATTGGCGGAGGGAGGAGAGGCACAGGCAATCTCGGCCTGCGGACAGGAGAGCAGAAGAGCGGCACCCCCCCCCCCTTGTATTCCATGCGTTGGCGTGGGTGTGGGGGGAACATGTCCCCCATTGCCAAATGTGGCAGACAGGAGAACAAGCCTGTGGGGGGAGGGGCATGAGAATGGAAGAGATGGCTCTCTCCTTCGCCAGCTGCAGCA